TATATATATATTGGGTTTTTTATGTATATATTTTATCAATGGAAGGAAGGTTTAATTGATATCAGAAATTGATGCAAACAAATAAAGATCTCAAATTAAATTGAAAAACAACAATAAAAAATATTTATCCTCAACCCGTGTTACCACCTTTGATATGGTAAAACCAAATTTAGTTAGAGAATCAACAAATACATTAACTTCTCTAAAAGTATGTACAAAAAATAATATCGTCAATAATTTTTCTTAGAATGTCATTTTCTTTCTTATACTATTTATCTCATGATCTTGACTTCTCATTTTAAGTCCAAAAAATTAATTACTTTGAAATCAAATTCAACAATAATAGACTCTTTCTGACCGAAGATGATGAATTAAAAACTTGAAGAGCGATTTTAAAATAGTTTTTGATATTACTCAGATGCCACATAATAAATAGAAAATAAAGTATTCAATTTTAGTGGCCTACATATATTATAAGAGTTCAATTTGTGAACTGTCATAGCCAATGTACATTGGGTTTCAACATTTAATTTTGGTGGACAAATCACATACATTTTATACTGAAAAAAAAATAAAAACACTCTGTAGTGACTAATTAGTAAGGTGATTAAACCTTGATGATCTCAACTGTTTAATTAGAGATTAAACCTTGATGAGCTCTATTCTTTTAAAAGCTAATTGTGAACACAAATTATATGACAACAGTAGGTGCTTTATGTCCATGCTTCTAAATGCTGAGGGGCTTGCTCATGAGGAAATATATTAAGTAAATATAAAAAATGTTCTCTAGCTTCATATAACAATTTACCTTAATTAAATTGATCGGTTCTCATTTATTGACATTCACACTATAAAAAAGGGGGGCGGGGAATATATATATATATATATATATATATAAGTCAATAATAATTTTATTAATAAATCACATACCATATAACAGTTTTATCAGAAGTCTTGCAAATTTAGAACACCTCACCCAAAACTCTATAGTGAATAATTCAAATCAACTCCTGCATATATAAAGGAGAGAAAGCTCTTAAGTCAACACCACACCACAAATATTTATTTTTATCAACGTTCAATTTTAAAAAAATCAACACAATAATTTTTTTTTTAATATTCCAAAAGAAGATGCAACGAGAAATCTTCCAACTCATATCAATCCATTGAAAGATCAAACAGATGATATTTAGATGTTTGTTTTATTATTTAATTAAGTGGAATGAATGACCTTTGAATCATGATCAATAGGACTACTTTAAATTATTGACATTTTTTACCAATACATATCAATGCTATCTTTTTTTAAAAAAATATATATATATTTGAGAAAAATGATGCATAACGTTTCAGGAATTTAATATTAATCACTAATCACATAGTAATTTAATCAAAAAAGAAAAATGAAGCACAGGGTGATTTGTGATTTGTTTTTTTGAACGATAGAGATAATTTCATTAATAACCTGCTATACAAAAGAAGCCATAGAAGCTAGAGCTGCAGATAAGCAGCATCGAAATAGACTATACAAGTTCAACAACACCCTCAGGTTGTAATGAGATCAAAAGGACAATCGTCAAGGACATCATCACAGCACAACCTAAGGATTCACCATCAAGCTATACTATACAAAGCAAAAATCTGTCATCCCTAAAGGACAGAGCCTTTGTCAAATCTCAGGCCAAGCAAATCAAAGCAGAGAGAAGCTCACAAAAGAAGGAAAAAGAAGTCAAGTAGCATTCAATTATCAGGCAAAGTTTCAATGATTTCCAGCAGCTCATTATGCCGCAGAATTCCCTCTTTATCTAATTCGTTAGCAGCCTGATTTCCTTCCCTCAGAACGTGTTGCACTCTCGATTCCCCCACTTGGCCTCTTAGTCTTTCTAAGTGAAGCACCCATATCCTAAGTCTCCGTGGGGCAGTATTAGGATAATGAACCCATTTGTGACTTTATTACTGAGCGTCTCAAAGATACTCTCTAACGTTACTATATATATTAAGTAATATTTTTCAATGATGCATAGAAGTTAATAACGTTATCTGTTAAATATGGCATGTAATATAAAAATTATCGTCTGAACTGTCCAATTATTAGGGTATTTTTGGTAGCAAATATAGGGTTCCATTCTAATTAAGAGTTAATCATGGTCAAATATTAATTAGGCTAAACATGATCCAAAAACATCATTTTTTTTTGAGAAATAAAATCAATCAAATTAAAGAAAACATTTTTGGTGATTACAAAGAATGCTCGAATAATTAATTAAAGAGTAAGAGTGCTGGTAAATTATATTAGTTTCTTTATTGGTGCATATGGCTATATATGGGTTAACTTAAGGGAAATAATTAATTAAGGGGTTTGAAGTTTCAAATCTCTCTCTCTCCTTAAAAAGATTATGTTACCTTAGATTGACCGTTAAAAATCATTAGTAGATATTAGTTTATAGTCCTGACATGTCATTATTATTTACTTTTAACCCATATTCATGCCATTCATATGTACTCAAGAAGTCAACTCAAAACAACGTTTAATATGGTTGAAAAGGGTGTAATCCATAAGTAATCATGACAAAGTTAGAAAGATATATTTCTTCTATTTTTAAATGTTCATCCCTCTTTTAACTTTCATAGAAATTAAAATAAAAACTTTAATTTTGATATATATTATACAAAATTTGATAATTTTTTATAATATAAATATTTAATGCTTTTTAATATAAAAAACAAATTTGTAATAAAAAAAGTAAGAGTATTAAGTGTTTATAAAAAATTTAAAAAAAGACTTTTTTTTGAAATATTAAAAAAGAAAAAGAAGCACCCAATGTTGAACCCCAGAATGGCAACAAAATGCAGGATTACGTATTAAAAATTGAAAATGAACAATGCAAAAAAGGCTTTAATTATTGTTAACATTAATCATAATTACTTCCTTGGTGGTCATAACCCTGGACCAATAGTTTTGCAACATTGTGATACCCCCACCTCACCCTGTAATATCTTAGTGCTCAAAAATCTATCACGATTAACCTTAAACAGCAACCCTAGCTGGGGCTATAAAACCCTAGCCTCTAGGGTTCTTCCTTCACACAATGTTTCCTTTGCTCATAGTTGGAATTAATTATCTGGTATTTCACTCACTCTATTTTCACTTTTCTCTTCCTTTTTTTGGTATGGGAAATTCTAGAAAAGACTGATAACGTCTGTATTGAAAATTACTAGTTTCATTTCAGGGTCTTTGCCACTTTTCGATCATGAAGAACTTTGGAGTGATCTTCTTGGCTCTGGTGTTACTTTCCGCAACTCTGCAGGCTGC